TTTTCCTCTCATTATTTATGCTTTTTGAGAGCAGGGGCTGTCTCCTAGGTCCAGCACTTAGCAGGATACCTGGAATATTTTCTGAATAGATCCTGGAGTTCCTAGCCCCCAGCCATCATTCACTATACTGGTTGGTCCTCAGAATGGTGGGTTTTGCCATCTGTCATATTTGGGGGACTCATTAATTAACATATGTTCAGGAAACAGAAAATAACTCAGTATTTTTATTAGTCAAACATCATTAGGGAGTACATTTCAACTGCAAAGGGTCCTGACATAAAACCTCATTCAGCAAATGTTTGTTGAGAACTTGCTATATACAGATCCATTTCAAAGTGTATGATTCCAGAGCAGTTTAAAAGCTCAGTTGGACTAATTTATTGATATTGACTTTTAATATAAAGATATGTATATATATGTCTGCGTGTTTGTGTGTGTGTATGTGTGGGTGTGTGTGTGTGTATATATATATATATATATATATATATATATATATATATAAAACATGAACCTCTAATCTCTGTGTGTGTGAGAGAGAGAGAGAGACATTATAACAACACTCAAGATAGTTTGGAGAAAAGAGAATAAATAATATCCACAGCCCCGCTCTAGTATATGCTCAAGTTTGAGGGTTGAACTTATACTTTATTTTCAGAAGAAAACCCTGAATGCCTCTGGTGGTGATTATTTTTAAAATTTATTTTTTTTAAACTCTAAAAGTAAAGTGTAAGCTAGTGATCTCAAATTTGGAAGCTTTTCTTTTGGTGGTGGTATCTATAGTAATTTTAATGGATGAATCAAGCCATTACTTTTTCTTAGTAGAGCAGCAGAGCATTGTCCTCCTTTGGAGAATAGGTCAGTAGACTGTTGACATCTGTTACTGGGGCTAGGTGTTTCAGAACCTGTCCTTCCACCAATCTTTTATATGGTCAGTGATTGAAGGGGATTTTTGTATAACTGTGCTGCGCTGGGGAGGGAGTACGATTTATGATCTTTGTTCTGAGGGCCCTCATACCCCAGAGTAGGCAGAGGTAAGATCTAGATGTAGACCACTATTGTGCATCAGAAGCCAAATGGGTGATGGAGCTGAAGATTTTGGAGAGTTTAGTGGAAACAGGTGATCGTGACCTGGAATAATTAGAGAACAAACAATATCCATGAAGACTGGGCTTTTTTTTTCATGATGAGGCAAATTGGTGGAGTAGTTATGTCCTGGGTGCATGGGCAGAGAGGTGGGCGTAGCATGGAATGAAGAGCATTTGTGTGATCCTTAGGCTAAACGGATTGGAGAGGCAGGTTGGGTCCAAGAGGGAAATAGCTAGAAATGAACACCACGAGAGCGGTTTGTAAACTGCGCATGATGTCAGTGTTAGCTGCTGCTTGCCTGTCAGGGTTTTGAGGCTGGGGTTGGGGCTGTTGAAAAAGTGTTTTGGGCTGATGGATCTCAGGGTTATGAGGCAGGGTGATTTGGGGGTGGGGTAAGTGGAGGCTGGAGGCATGGAGATCTTTCAGGAACGGATGTTCTTTCTGGACGTTGTAAATGACGTCAGGGATCAGGGCAGCAGGAGTGGAGAGGCATACAGGGATGTGTGACAGAGGCTCTGGGGAATGACTGGTATGATTTATTGCCAAGGAGGGAGAAGTCAGGCAGAAATCTGGGAAATGATGGGCCCAGTTACTTCCATAGGAAATGAGTAAGTCAGGACTGATTGGAGGGAAGATGAGACTGTTTTTAGAGTAATCATGTCTCGTATTTATTATATGTTTTCTGCGTGCCTGAGGACAGTTCTGAGTGCTTTCCATAATAACTTTATGAATTAGGTGCTGTTACTGTCCCCACTTTCCAGATGAGGAAACCAAGGTAGAGATGCTTGGTAACTTTCTTAAGGATCACACACGTGCATCCTGGCAGATGCAAATCTGGACAGTCTTATCTCTAGAGGTGATTGTACTGGGGGAAGTAAGTCAGCTGCAAACTGTTATATACAGAATGGATAAACAGCAAGGTCCTACTATATAGTGCAGGGAGCTATATTCAGTATTCTGTGATTAAACCATAATGGAAAAGTATGAAAAAGAATATATATATTTATAACTGAATCACTTTGTTTATAGTAGAAATTAACATATAATTGTAAATCAACTATACTTCAATTAAAAAAATTAGAAACCTCAAAAAAAGAGAAAGAGTCAAGTTCTTACCTAGGATGCCTTACTGCTTCACTATAATAACTAGCTGAAGAAATACATACTGCAGTGCACTCCAGTATTCTTGCCTGGGAAATCCATGGACAGAGGAACCTGGTGGTCATTTCATTCTCCAGGACATCTTCCCAACCCAAGGACTGAACTCGCATCTCTCACATTGGCAGCTGGGTTCTTTACCACGAGCCACCACGGAAGCCCAGATTGAAATATATTTGCAGTATAAATTCTTAAGAATTTTTGGATTAAATTGGAAGCACTTCGTTTTTAAAGGAGATACTTGAAAAACCAGCATCTTCACTTAGCACTGTGCCCATTTTCTTATTTAACAGTCTGTATGACTAAAAATCACCCCAACCACTTTATTTCCATAGTCTGGTTCCACCATTTAGAGCTTCAGTCTGGGGGCACACTTCTCTTCTGTTGGTGCTCGGTAATATTGGATGACTAATTCACCTTATTGTTGGATCTTCTGTGACTCAAGGCTGCCCAGCATCTTCTGATCTGGGGTGTACTTTGCGAGACATCATGGGGCTATAATTGATGGCATGGTTGGAAGGCACCCAGATGAAATATTTGTTTGGATAACTAAACTAAGACTGGTGATTTAGGTTGACACTTTCAGGGGTCAACCTCAGCCCTTCTACAGAGCACTTTTGGGCTGTCCCTCTCCATGGGGTCTGTTTCTTCTATCTTCAGATGTCAGCATGCCTCCTTTTTTTTTTTTTTTTTTAAACTTGTAACCTTTTAACTACTACTAAAGTTTTAACTACAGGTCTGTTTCTGTGCTTTCTCCTGCCATAGCTCTCAAGGAAGAGGTCTACACTTGCAGGCTTTACCCTTGAAGCCAACAGAAATTCCCACTCAACTGAAATTGGATTTCCTGTGTGTCTTCCTAACCAGATCTGGGGACCTGTGTTTGTTCCCTTTGATCTTGCTCAGCATCTGCCCTGGGACCCACCCACCTTCTCTTGGGAGCCTTTTGATGTGTTGCCTCCCTTGTCTTTTTTAGCCTCTCCCCTTCCTTTCTGATGGTCCCATTTTAAAAAAACCTGTCTTGACTCTTCCCTGCTCGCTCTGAGCTGGGAGAACGCTATGACCAGTACTCACTGTGTTCCTCTTTTTTCTACAAAACCGTTTCCTTGGATTATTTGATCCTGTCTTATAACTTCACAGGTGCTGCTCTTTCTCCACCATCTGAATTTCACATCACCCAGGTGTAGCACCTGGGAGCAGGTGTCCTGCTTCTCCTGTCTCTGCCCCTTTCTCACCGTATCTCCATCTCTGCCCTAAACGTGTGCAGAGGCTCCTGCTGTGGCTTACTCTGACCGCCCCTTCCTCCACTGGCTTGGACGGCTTTTGCTGCTCCTTCAGAACCCACGTCAGTTCTTGTTTCTGACCTTGTACGTGTGGAGGGGGGCACAAATCCAAGGCACATGAACCATCCCCCCCATGATCCTGCAGAAGTGACTGAAAGCCCCCCAGGGAGCTCTGTCATCCTGGTGCCCACACCCTCCCCCCCCCCCCACCCGGATCGTACGTGAGTCGACCTCTTGCGTGTTTCATGGCATCGCCACCGCTAGAGTGCTCTTTGTCTGGCAGCCTCACATCTTCCTCTTTCTCTTAAATCCTTAACTGTGAGTTCTGTGGCTTCTGCCAACCTGCAGTCAGAACTTTTCACTGATCGCCTGTAGTCTAGTTGATCTCAGGTATCTCACCGTGCACGCGTGTCTCTGGTGTCTGTCTATGGTATCTGTCTGCTCTTTCTCCCCTTCTGATACTATGGAAATCCAGCCCACTTCTTCCTCTGTAGCCTGAAGCTAAGTCTTGTATCTATGTTTCATTATTCTGGCATTGAACACTGTGTACTTTAAGATCTGGAGTGTAAGGACTGTGTGTCCCCCTCTACGTGGATTTTCTCCCAGCATCTAACAGGGTGCTTTTGCAGCTTGTAAATAATGAACAGATACTTACCTTCATGCAACGGATGCGTGTATGCACTTGTGTACACAAGTGAATGAATGGATTGGCTGCTGTGATTTTCTAATGTTCCAGTTTTATATTCAGAGTCTCTAGTTTTGTATCTTTAGTCTGACACTTTCCCAACTGAGCTATTTAGACACTCCTTTTAGTTTTGTATCTTTAGTTTGCTGTGTAGCAAATCTCTGTAGGCATTAGGTTGATCAGGCTGCAACCCAACGTCTGCTATGAAATCTCATGATCTGACCATTAAAATAAGGTTTTCATTTTCTGCCTTATCATTTGAAACACAAAGATCTTTTTTTTTCATGACCATCACCGAATAAGGAGAACTGCATAGGAATAACTGAATTCACAAAGCTGGAAGAAAAGCCAGGCTTTCGTGATCGTGTATGTCTTGCCTAAAGAGTGATGGGCCGGCAGTTTTTTTGTTGTGCTGTCTAATCGTGTGAGGTTTTGTTTTTGTTGTTTCTAGACTGGGTGTCAGCATGCAGTGTCATTGCAGTGGCCCATATTCAGAGCGGAAGCTTGACCCCGTTGTGTGTTTAACCCAGAGAATGCCATGGCATCCAGCAAGTCTTGGCTTGCATACCAAGGGTGACCCTCAGGATTAATTGAAAGTTGCCAAAAATAACTTAATTTTCTAGATGAACTTTAGAAACTTTAAACAGAACTCTCTCACCATAAATAGCTGGGCAGCTTTGTCCTATTTTTATTGTCAAGTACACAGAAGATGGAAATCAATATTGGAAGAAGTGCTTTATTTCGCCCAAGAAAAAGATCATGTTCAACACGATTTTCGTTTTTCTTGGCAGGCTCTTCTCAACCATCTGTGAGTCCAGGGGAACTGTCTCTACCATCTATCCATCCAGCAAAATCAGAGTTAATTGTCAGTGTTGGCGACGAGATTAGGCTGTTATGCACTGATCCAGGATTTGTCAAGTGGACTTTTGAGATCCTGGGTCAACTGAGCGAGAAAACAAACCCGGAATGGATCACCGAGAAAGCAGAAGCCACGAATACAGGCAATTACACATGCACCAATAAAGGCGGCTTGAGCAGCTCCATTTATGTGTTTGTTAGAGGTAAATGCTCAGCTTTCTTTGATGCTATGCTTAAAGAACTTTATATCCTGTCCTTAATTAAGGATGACATATAGATGGCTGAGTCATGGATAAAATATTACTGGCTGGGTCTAGAAAGCATAAAACACAATTTTCTTGGTTAGTTTTCCCCTACCTTCTGATACACAGTGGCCTCGGGTATGACTCCAGCTGAAGGTCTTATAAGGCTGTGATGCTCTTCCTAATGAGATTGCAATATGGTTTAGCCCATTTGTCCTGGTGGTGTGAGTAAACCTGAGAATAAATTAGGCCCTTTGGGAAGACAGCATTTTAATGCCTTGAGATCCCAGATATTCCCACTTAGTAAAAACACTTCAGGGAACTGAAGGCCTCCAAAGGCCCCAAACAGACCAAAGCTTCAAATGAATTGACCCACTTTTAGAGAGTAAATTCCAGAAACAATTCCGTTTGTTAAGCACCCTCTGTCCTTCCTGAGTTCTTAATAGTAGTCAGTTCATTCATTTAAAAAATTGTGACCTCTTGAGAAACAAAAGGAAAATGTGATGGTTGGATTTCTGTACCTCATTTCCTGTGATGAATGCAGTGATTCATCTGTGTTTGTGCTTTGAATAACCTTGTCAGAAGGAGGTTTCCTGGCGGGGCCAGGGGAAGGCCTAGGGGAGGGGTCTTTTTGTTGGTGTGAAAACTAGAATACTTAAAGCTTGAGAGACATAACAAGGTTACAGGAGGAGAAATAGTTTCAGTTCTCGTCCTGGGTTTGTACCTGGCCTGAGGTTGTCACTGCAACCTCATCTATGATATTGTGGAAGAAGATCCAATAAATTTGTCCTAGGTTGTGGATCTGAACAACCTCTGAAGTCACAGTTCCTCACAGCAACACTTGGATAAGATCACCTGCTCTGTGTTCCTTATATAATTGTTTTCAGGAAGACAGAATTAATGCACATTCTAACTCTATGGAAGGTTAGTAAAATTGACTCTCCTGTTCGCTATGAAGAAGGTTGCCATGAAACTGAAACTGCCTCTCTTTAGTGTATCTTTTACTCTTTCCTGGGTGGATAGCTGAAAAGAAATACATGTTCACAAGCCACAGCTAGCCTCTGGGTATGTTTCATAATTGTTGAGCCGCCCGTGTTCTATTCTTTGACATTCAAGAAGGTACTCTGTAATTTCCAGGTGGTAATGAAGTGTCATTCTGCTTATTAATAGGATGGGTAGATGTCTGAATAAATAGGGAAACTGCTGCATTAGCTAAATCAGTCTCACAGAGCGCTCAGGTTTTCTTTATAGGGGAAGTCATCCTCAATAACTTAGAACTATATTTAATTATTACCAGTTTAAGATGTTTAGATGCCTATATAGTTTGTCTTATGGCAGTGAAGGAAATCAGGGCTTTGTGGAAACTAGATAAAGTGACTGAGAAAGAGTAAGTGGGAAAATAACCAACTATAGCCTCAAACCATATTTCAGCCATTATGAGATAATTTATTTGCAGAATAAATTAGTTAGGCTGGGAGGTGCATAATTCATTTAAGAAAACTCTTTGAAAATTGGTCAAAATTATATGAAAAGTGGATTTCAATTATGTCATTGATTTTTGTGGAGCACTCAATTTGCATGTGGAAAGGACATTTAAAAAACATTTTAGGGACTTCCCTGGTGATCCAGTGGTTAATATTCCACACTTCCACTCTAGAGGGCCTGGGTTTGATCCCAGGTTGGAGGACTAAGATCCCGCATGCCGCACAGTGTGGCCCAAAGATGAGAAAACGTTTTAAGTGTCGTCTGTTGGCCCGACCGTGTGTCTGTATGATCACTACACAGTATAGAGGTGGCAGCATACTGTGGGTGGGTACAGAATGAGGTTTGTGCAGAGGTTCCAGTCGGACTGAGGCTTTCCCAGCCCATGCCAGGTATCCCAGCATAATTACTAATTGCACCTCTTTCACTTCCAAGTGTCCTGGTTTGGACAGTCATGTATTTGCCACAGCATTTCTGAACCTCGTAAGCTCCCCTTGTGCATATCACTTTATTTGATTTCCAGAAGTTCTACGTATACCTATCTTTCAAGGAATATGAATAGAGCACAGACCACATGTTGTTTGTACTGTATGGCCCCCTGATAGTTTTCTAGATTCTTTTCAGAAGCTGGAGGATCCTGGAGACTGTGAACTCCAGAAAGAAGGTCACTTGGGTTAGTGGAGAACACTTTTCCCCACACTACTAGATGTCATCAGGCTGCCTGTGTTCTTTGCACTGTTTTAGGGAAAAAGTAAATAATACAATAAATATTACAAATATTTATATTCATAAATATTATAAAACATTTATATTTATAAATTTATAATTTAAAAATAAAAATAAAAAATTATAATATTTATATTTATAAATATTATAGTAAAATATTCCCAGAGTTTTAAGAACTCAGATTGTGGTATCAGTCACACCTGGCTTTGAGTTCTTTCTAGCCATTTCTGGACCACATCACTTAAGGGGAGTTGCTAGTTTTGAGACTTCGGTTTATCTATAAAATGGTGATAGTGATAGCGCCCATCACATTATAGGTGTTTTGAGGATTAAATGAGAAAGGTAAATGTGCCTGACATGGTTTAAGTGTTACCTTTTCCTTATTAGTATAGTTCAGATAAATTCTACTTTCATTTGCAGAGAATAAAGTCAGTAGCCATTTGGGCTACTGGGGATTTTTGCTGTGAAAGAGCATTTTATTTATTTTTAAATTTTTTGGCTGAGCCACATGGCATGCAGGATCTTAATTCCCTAACTAGTGATCAAACCTGTGCCCCCTGCAGTAGAAGCATTTGACTACAGGATTACAAGGGAAGTCCCCGAAAGGCAACATCTTAGATCTTTATAAAATGTTTTCATTGTCATTTTAAAAACGTGCCGTTTGAAATACTGATTGTCGGTTATGCTGTAGACCCTGAGAAGCTTTTCCTGATTGACCTTCCCTTGTACGGGAAAGAAGAAAACGACACGCTGGTCCGCTGTCCCCTGACAGACCCCGAGGTGACCAATTACTCCCTCACGGGGTGTGAGGGGAAACCGCTCCCCAAGGATTTGACGTTTGTGGCTGACCCCAAGGCAGGCATCACAATCAGAAATGTGAAGCGTGAGTACCATCGGCTCTGTCTGCACTGCTCAGCGAAACAGAGGGGCAAGTCCATGCTGTCCAAGAAATTCACCCTGAAAGTGCGGGCAGGTACGGCCCTTGTTTGCTTTTGGCTGGGTGTTGGAACATCCATTGATTTAAAAGACTTCTCTTCTCGCTGTCCATCTTAGTATTAGTATGTTGGTCACGCAGGCAGCTGCTCTGATCGGTTCTCCCAGCCTCAAAATAATGCCAGCTGCTTGTAAATTCTTTATTTCACAGTCCAAATGCCACGTGACTGGCCCAAGACCCACCACCAGCTGGGTGGGTTTACCAGGGAAGAGCAATTAGATGGTCCTGGGGACAGTCATTAAACCTACTGACATCAGGACATCCCAAAGTTTAGTAAATGCAGTGTTCCTTTCAAGGGAAACTTATTGGGAAGCCTTACACTGTTTAAAAAGATTAGCACACGGATTATTCACTCCTTGATTTACTGTTGATCTGTGAATTGACTTTCTCCTTAAATATTTAATTTTAATGCCTTCTTAGACGGTTCACAATCTGAGAAGGAAAGTACCAAGCTGACAATGGACCTTGTTATGAATGCAACATGAGGTAGAATATTTTGGTAGCTGGAGGATACCAGGGAGCATTTAGCTATTGAATAGTTATCGTTAAGGCTTTTGAAAAGGGTTCTCTTTGGAATTGAGGAAAGTTTGATTATTTAAAACCTGTGATTTTAAGAAATAATCAAGATATTAATTTTATAGTACATGAGAAAGTTGCCTGTTTGGTTAAAAGGATGTAATTAGTTGTTGGTCACATCCTCATGAAACCATCAAGTGAAGTAAAGGTGAAGGCAGCTTCACTATGCTAGGGTTTCTGCCTAGCTTTGTTCAGGATTATTACCATCTCAAAGTAGACATTCTCTCTTTTTCACTCTATATTAATTAATTTACTTGAGGGATGCAGTTTGATTCCTGATGTCTTCAGGTACACAAGTAATACAGATTGGTTAGTGCCATACTTTATATTAAAGACCACAGAGTGAGCTGGGCATGGCTTAGGGAAAATGGTAAGTTGAAACGTTGAGTTACAGTGCAACCAGTTGTTTGAGGGCCACTTTTCATTTTATTCCAGCCATCAAAGCTGTGCCACTTGTGTCTGTGTCCAAACCCAGCTATCTTCTCAGGGAAGGAGAGGAGTTTGCAGTGACATGCTTGATAAAAGACGTGTCTAGCTCCGTGGACTCTATGTGGATAAAGGAAAACAGCCAGGTGAGTGGATTGTCTTCTCCCTTTTCCTCAATGTATCATGCTGTGTGGGAGGTGTGAAGGCTTTTCTTTAAAGAAGTTTTATTTTTTTAAGAAATGTATCTTATTGAAGTCTAGTTGATTTACCACGTTGTGTTAATTTCTACTCCACGGCATGGTACATATATATGCATTCTTTTTCAAATTCTGAGAGAGTCTATTAATCATCCTGAGGATGGCTCAGCTGGTGTGTCTGTCAGAGGTGGAGCTGTCTGGAGTGTGTTGAGATGCATATTTCCCTGTTTCATAGCACCATATGCAGACGTGTACGTTCATTATGAGTAACAAAGAAATGTCATTTTGTAAATTTATTTTGAGAAAGTCGAAAACTTCAGACTTGTTATTACTCCATACTGTTTCTCTGAATGACTTTAGTGGGGAAAATTTTTTTAAAAATTAACAGTTCAGTGAATAGCTACCTTGATTTTTATAAAGCTATTATGGAAACTATTCAGGCCAGATTATTTAAAATACTGTGAAAAGTTGACATTTTCCCCTTCCATATTAAGAAACGTGATCTCAGATATTAACCAGGAAGCCCTTCCCTCCTCCATGGAGAGGCCTGTCCATTTGAGAGATGGGTTTCTTTGTGTATGGGTCTGATTTCCTCCTTTGAGACTGCTTACCTGAGATCAGGTTGCTAATGGTTTTCTGTTTGTTTTAGTCACTATTAATAAAGTGGTTATCTTCAATCTGAAGCATTTGGACATGTTTAGGTTATCATTCATTTGACAAATGCATATTGAATGTCTACTATATGTCAGATACTGTGTTAGGCGTATCTTAATAAATTTTGGCTAGTTGTATTTGAAGGGTTTTTTCCCTTTGAACTCACTCACATTAATAGCAAGGTCTTTGAAATGTCTAGTTTTCCTAGTATTTTGCTTTTAAGATTCCCATCGACTGAGTTTTCAATAATTTCTGTTTGCATAATCTTGGCCATCTAGTTAATTTGCTATCATAGTAGTTTTTCTTCAGTACACAGGTATATATACATTGGAAGGAAGAAAATATTGTCTTTTCCTCCTCCTCTTCCTCTTCTTCCCCATGCTCTGAATTGGCAATTTTATGCCTGTTTAGAGAATCCTATGCTAAATAAATAACCATGACGATTAGCATAGTGCAAAGTCTTATGATGGTTTTCCTGCAGACCTGTGATGGATGATACCTTGCTAAGTGAAGTCTGCCGTTGACTAGGAGAAGGGAACCAACGTCTCAGAGAAAGAAGTCCTAGTTTTCGTATCATATAACCTAATAAAAACAACTAGCTTACATATGGGTTTTTGACTAACCTTACAGAACACAATCCCATATTAATTGCCTTTCTATGATCCTTGATTTCAGATGAGAGAACAGTTTAGACTGTGTGTATAGCTGAGCCTCTATATAACTTGAAAATTAGCCTTTCTGAGATGAGAAATAAATTGCCCCAGGCAGTTTTGTTCTGAACCATTTTTTCCCAGGAGCCCTGCTTGCCATTCCCAATTAATCCACTGGCACTGGTAGATAAGACTGCAGTGTTGGGAGCTCTTTGGGGAAATCCCAGTGCGTACCTCCAAGGGTTAAGGAAAACCAAATCACGTGCAAACACTATGTAACGTGTGACTTGCAGATGGGGCTCATGGCTGAATGCCAGAGTTCATCCATGAATCTTTTACTTACATCCTTTGGCTTAATTTGGAATACTTAGTGCTATTATAGCACTATCAAATTATTTAAAAAATCTGTGGAATTTGATTTGAATCATTTAGAATAAGTTTAACTCACAATGAAATTTAGGGTGAATTGAGTGTTGGAAAGTTTTTGCAATTGTTTGTTTTAAAATGTAAGAGAATCTTGGAGTTTATTCAACACTGTAAATCTTGGTTAGCTTTTCTAAGGCTTATACATTCTCATATTTTTACTGCTTTTAATCATGATCTTTGACGATATCCTAAATCATGGCCTTCAGGTTTGGATGTTGATATTGTGTCAATTATCGACAAACTATTCCTTCCAGCACCAATGCATTCATTGTCCTGTTTAGCTCCCTAACAATGGACTCCTGGGTCTTTGCAGGAACTAGAGGGAAGAATCAGTAAATGTAGAATATAGTATGTGACCTGTCCATCGTCTCTGCCTTTACAGAGGAGAAGTCTGTAACATGATGGACTAGGAGAGGCCAGAGAAAAATGTCATTTCCCCTTCGTGTCTTAACAATTGCTGTTAGGCAGCAAAAATGTCAGATTTCTGCCAATTATTAGAAGAATCTCTTAGAAAGGAGTATCTTCAAATCGACACAGTGCTCCAGACTGGAAAGGCCTTGAAAGACTTTTATTCTCTTACTCATTTTTGGAAATAAAATCTGAGACCATAGTGGCATCCTTGACTTGGCCAAGATCTCACAGTTAGTTAACCAAGCAGGTTTCTCTTCTTTTTATTTCAAAACATTCAGCTTTGGCAGTCAGCTTTTATGTGTGCTTATTTTAGTGTAAAAAAATTTCTAAAAATATAATAGCATGAGAAAAAAGAGAAATAACTATAATTCTGCCACTGTACATTAGCAGCACTGTGCAGTAAAAATAGAATGTGAGCCTCCTATGTAATTTAAAATTTTCTAGTAGGCACATGACACTAAAACAAAGTAAAATCAATTTTAATGTATTTAGTCCAATGTATCCAAAATATTTTATCATGTAATTAACATAAAAATTATTAATGAGCTATTTTACACTACTTTCTTTCATATTAAGTCTTTAAAGTCTGGGACATATTTTATATTTAAACACCCTTCAGTTTGCATTTCAAGTGCTTGCAGTCTCGTGTGGTTAGTCCTTATAAATGCTATATTGCCCACATTTTTTTCCATGTTTCTTTTCTCTCTGTCCCCATGCATATGTATGAACACATGGTTACTGTCTTAAGGTATACTCATTTTAAACTTTTTACATAAAATAAGCATTTTTAATTTTCATGTATTTAAAGTCTTTTTGATACCTGGTACACATTAGGTCATCTGCAGTTTTTCTCTTCAGCAAATATCTTGGAGCTTTTGTTTCCTGTTGAGTTGTTTCTTTGAGATAAATTTGCTGGAGTTGATCAGGGCTCTGAACGTGCTTCTGAGTTGCTTTCCAGCAGGATTGTTCTCCCTCACAGTACTGTCAGAATGGTCTAATGCTAATAGTCCACCATAGCCTGTACAGGGGTCTCCCTTGATCTTGTTCCATGTCAATATCCACTGTTATTTTGGGGTTTTTTAGTTGTTTCCCCACTTCCCACCTACCCCTCCCCATTGTAAAAGGAATGCGTTCATTTGAAAAAAAATTGGAAGATGCAGAAAACTCTATGCTATTCCCTTTCATTTTTTCAGAGAATGGTTGTAGTTTATATTATGGTTTTTTCCCCATGAGGTTTCCATACAAGAACTCTCTCCTTGTCTTACGTGCAGACAAATATTAACAGTAGGATGGTGATATCACAAGAGTAAATGCACAGCCTTTTTTCTTCAGCTCGTGTGTAAATAACTTGGGGTTTGGTTCTTACATGTCTTGTGTACTTCTGAATGCTCTTTAATAGTTGCCAAAATTCTGCTGGGTAAGAAGAATAAGATGAATTTTCAAGTTAATCTTAGACATTGTAAATTTATTTTTATTAATGAAAATAATATAAATGTTAATAAGATAGAACATGATTGTTAGTAGTGATGTTTTTTCTTTCAATCACTGGGATTTATTTTTTCAATTTATTTTTTCAATCACTGGGATTTATCTATTTATTTATGTAGAAAATACATAAATGTTTATAAAACAGGAAATATTGATAGGATACAGGTATGCTGACTTATAAAATATCAGTATCCTCTAGTATTTCTTAATATACTAGCTTTTAAAATTTGGCACTGTTTTAAAAAAAGATGTTTAGCACTGCAGAGAATTTGGAATTATGTATGCTGTGGTTATTAAGAAATGAATTTTCATGTTTTTTTCCAATCATTAATAATGACTATCTTTCAATATAGTCCGGTAATATGAAGTGTTCCAATGACAGACTTGTCATGGTGTTTTATTATTCTTACTTAAGTAGTGTATAATGAATGCTAATATGGAGAAGTTAATTGCTGCTATTTTTAATTTATCTAGGAAAGATCCTGAATATAAATTGCATGGTAATCTTTGATTTCTTTCTTGCCCTCCCCTTCTGAGAGCAGCAGACTAAAGCACAGACGAAGAAGAATAGCTGGCATCAGGGTGACTTCAGTTATCTCCGGCAGGAAAGGTTGACTATCAGCTCAGCAAGAGTTAATGATTCTGGTATCTTCATGTGTTACGCCAATAATACTTTTGGATCAGCAAATGTCACAACAACCTTAGAAGTAGTAGGTAAATATCTCTGGGAATGGGTAAATCACTTGGCATAGTGAATAAAGAAATTACCCGATAGTTTCCTTTTTACATTAATGGAATGTTGAACAGATTCTTACGGATTTTAGTATCAGTGAATGAATGAATGAATACATGAAAAAAAAAGATCTTCCAACCCGAGCACAAAAGCAAATTCTACCCATTTAATAGAGGCAAGTGAAAAGCTATAACTGTGAAGGTGTTTGAATGTGTCATTCTCTGCTTAACCCCCATACCCCAATAAATGTAGGTTGAGCTTTTCCCAAAATTTTACTCCTTGCTGAATGACCTGCGTTTGGAAATGGATGGAGACTTTTTTCTTTGGAGAAAGACCTATGCTTAGTCCTGAATGTCTTTCTCCGGGTCTTTTGGTGAGGTTCTTCAGCCTTTTGGTTTTTTGTTCTACCGTTCATGGGCTCTAGTCACTTGGTAGCAGAAAGGGCTAAACTGACTTTTCCTTCTCAGCATGCCCCTCACCTTACCCTGTCGTCTGACCCTACAGGCTATCACATAAACTTCAGGGAGGCAGCCCACTGGCCATGGCTTCTTGTTTCTGCAGAGCGTGAACAAACATGTTAACCTGAGCCATAACTGGTACACACAACTGGTTTAGTTTTCTCTGACCTAGCAATCTGCTGCTGCTGCTAAGTCGCTTCAGTCGTGTCCGACTCTGTGCGACCCCATAGACGGCAGCCCACCAGGCTCCCCCGTCCCTGGGATTCTCCGGGCAAGAACACTGGAGTGGGCTCTAGCAATCTGACTAAATACTTATTTCCCAAGCATCTACTTAATGAGAGCAGACTGTGGTAAAGTACGTGATGTTTTTGAGTTACTGGAAAGTATAGTAATTAAAAAAAATTTTTTTTTACACTTTTTGGACTCTCAGTATTGTTTGTAAGTTTTCTTGCTTTGTTTTGTGTTTTTTTTTGGATGCCACCGTATTCTCATTGCTTGATTTTGATTAAGTACTTGTAGGGTGGTGAAATTCTTCATCATAATTTCACCAATAATAAAATTACATGATATTTGTTTTCATTTCTCTCTTTCCCCCCATATTTCTTCAATACTTTATGTAGCAGTGTTAGAGGTTTGTGATTTATCCCACAATTATCTCATATGAGTTTGATGTTTTTGCCCATGTTGTAATGGAAAGTGTCTCACCAAAATGAACGTGAAAAAGACGCTTTATTTGCAATTACAGAGCTAGTCCCAAGAGAGGGTACTATTCTGTCCCTAAACATGACTGTGAACCATTTATTAATTTGAATAAAAGGCTATGCTTTTAAAATATTAAACTCCATAAGTGCTAATTTGCTAAGTTGATTAGGGAGCATGCTGATATATCAGCTTCAACTCCAGAAAGCAATTAGTAAGGATGTTTTGAGCATATTGTTGTATGTAATCAGATTTTTTAAATCCATTCATCAATTTCCAAGAATATAACTGTATAACTGGAAACACTTGGGGTCATGTAATCTGAATCTGTACTGCTTCGGGAGAGGGTTGGGATGGGACAAGAGCAGGAAGAGACAGAGAAAAGTGATCTTTAGGGGCTGGGAGTAGAATTTGGACAGAGTGGAGTGGTGCGCCGCACAAGACTTTAGGATGACCCCTACCTAGTTTTGAGTTGGGGCTCTAGCACTTAACTTTCAAATGCCCCCCACTTTAACTCTGCCTATATTTTCTCTTACAAGACTCACACCCTCTAACTCCCAAGGCTGTAGAAGGGAGAAAGGCAACAGATTTTATAGATGTACCTGGTATAGTGTTTGCACTTGATTAACTGTTAATGTCTTATCAGTTTCTTAAATCATATTTTGTAACAAGCCAGGTAGGAGTTTTTGATTGTAATAATTCTTACACTTCATGAATTTGAAACTCTGTCCTATTATATAGGACATAAAACCATATTGACCAAACTAGACTATAGAAAACTCTGGAGGAACTAGCATTTCATGATGATTGTGACAGAAATCAGTGCAAATAATATCGCCTGTAATATTTCTATATTTTGCATTGTGTTTTATCTTTGAATTTATGACCTTGAGTACCTGAAAATTTAATGGAGCTTTCAGATAAAACATTTATTTCCTCAAAACTAACTTAAATTAGCTTAAAGAATGACAGATGGGCACCATTTATGATTCAGGTATTAGAACAAGCTGGTGGTTTCCAACTTGATTTCGTTTGGATGTTTTTTAAAATTTCACCTGAAAAATGTTTTTCCATTGATACAAAGGACAGTTGGACTCCATTTTTTTAATTTTTTATTCTGAATCTGTAGGAAACGAAACAGTAAATGTTCTAATGGCAACCTCATGTGGGCTATCAATTGCATGTTAGATGCTCTCCGGAGGATAGCTACTCAGTAGGTGGGTAGTGGTTTAGTCCGTAAGTCGTGTCCAACTTCTGCGACCTCATGGACTGTAGCCCACCAAGTTCCTCTGTCCATGGGCTTTTCCAGGCAAGAACACTGGAGTGAGTTGCCGTTTCCTTCTCTAAGGGATCTTCCCCACCCAGGGATTAAACCTGTGTCTCCTGCATTGCAGGTGGATTCTTTACCAACAGAGATACTAGGGAAGCCTGGGGTGTAAATATATTTAACTAAATAGTACCATAGATAGTGAATGACAGTCTTAAATGTTATAACTCCATCTTCAATTTTGAAAAAGAAATAAAACAGTAAGATTAAAACTCCTTCATAATTCCACTGACTTGCTATAACCATTTTTAGGGTTTGGTATATGGTTTATATTTGTGTATGCAACAGGATTTTAATTATACATATAACCTTAGGTTCTCTCTCTTTCTCATTTAAAGTGTGTGGAGACTCTAAGGTATGCTACAGTAAGAAGCCAGCCTTGGCCTCTCACTGTGTGTATTCACGTTTAGGCTCTGCCTTTGGGTAGCCAGCTATATGGCTTTCCAGGACGTGGTTTCTTTTCTCATCTATAAATTAGGGGTTATAAGATTATATGCAGATGACACCACCCTTATGGCAGAAAGTGAAGAGGAACTAAAAAAAAAGCCTCTTGATGAAAGTGGAAGAGGAGACTGAAAAAGTTGGCTCAAAGCTCAACATTCAGAAAACTAAGATCATGGCATCCGGTCCCATCACTTCATGGGAAATAGATGGGGAGACAGTGGAAACAGTGTCAGACTTTATTTTTTTGGGGCTCCAAAATCATTGCAGATGGTGACTGCAGCCATGAAATTAAGACGCTTCCTCTTTGGAAGGAAAGTTATGACCGACCTAGACAGCATATTTAAAAGCAGAGACGTTACTTTGCCAACAAAGGTCTGTCTAGTCAAGGCTATGGTTTTTCCAGTGGTCATGTATGGATGTGAGAGTTGGACTGTGAAGAAAGCTGAGTGCCGAAAAATGGATGCTTTTGAATTGTGGTGTTGGAGAAGACTCTTGAGAGTCCCTTGGACTGCAAGGAGATCCAACCAGTCCATCCTAAAGGAGATCAGTCCTGGGTGTTCATTGGAAGGACTGATGCTGAAGCTGAAGCTCCAGTACTTTGGCCACCTCATACGAAGAGTTGACTCATTGGAAAAGACCCTGATGCTGGGAGGGATTGGGGGCAGGAGGAGAAGGGGACGACAGAGGATGAGATGGCTGGATGGCATCACCGACTCTATGGGCACGAGTTTGAGTAAACTCCGGGAGTTGGTGATGGACAGGGGGGCCTGGCGTGCTGCAATTCATGGGGTTGCAAAGAGTCGGACACGACTGAGCGACTGAACTGAACTGAAGGTTCTCTTTCAGTATTGCTGTAGATTAAATATTTGTCATAATTATTAAATAAAATACACTAAAGAACTTAAGGCAGTTCTTGACACATAGTAAATATTCCATAAAAGAAGTTTATAAATATAATATTGGCAATTATTATGGTCTTTTTCAAGCTCTTCATTGTATTATTACATAACCATTTCTAAGGAATGCTTTATTTACTTAACCAGTTCTCCCTTTTCTCATTTTTAAGATTATTATGACTAGGGTAAATAGCACTTCTTTTTTGCATGTAGCTATCTACCTCACTAAGAAGAGTTCTCTGGATTAAATTGAAAAATAGATAATTTTTTAAATGTCTAAAGGAGTTGTGCCAAATTACAATGTGTAATTCAGCATGCTATTTTAATTACACTTGCAAAATTATTAAGTTTATTTCAAATTAGCTTTGCTAGTTTTCCATAGAAAGAATATAGATTATTTTTAACAGCTGTATTGAAGTTTTGCTGTTTTTAATGTGAAAAGGGATCCCCTATTTAAATTACTAGTTTATTTTTCCTTCTGTATTTTCATGTCTTCTTTTTCCTATTACCTTAATTAATTTTTCTATATATAGACATTTGAAAACATTTATGTATTCAGATTTGTCTTTTATAAGTTTTATTTCTTTGATTGCTTCTAAAAAGCCTGGAAAACTGCCCCCACCCCCAGCTTGGTCAAAGTTTAATAGAAGTCAATTTTGTTGTTTAGTTAAAAATATGGCTTAATTGTTAAAATGCTGTTCTGAATCATCTGTGATGTATGATATAAAAAGATATATTTTTAAGTTTAGTTTTCTTTAAATACTAAATTACATTCTTGCAGTATTTTTATTGAACATTGGGGCTATCTTCCCCTCCTTGATTTATGACATCTTCTTATCACATATACAGTTATATTGGGTCTAGGAATGGGCTATTTAGTCCAAATAATTTTTAGCATAATATTCATCAGGACTGGTAGTTCTAAAAGACTTATCCAATGGTGATAGATCTTTAACAGAGTTGCTTAAGAGATAAAAATAAGAGAATAAACATTTCCAATGTGTGTCCTTTCTCATTTATGACTGTAATTCTCTAAGAGCAAAACAAAATGTAAAATGACTAGTTAAAATTCTTACTTGGCGTGCTAAGTCGCTTCAGGCTTATCCAACTCTTTGTGATCCCATGGACTACTCTGTCCATGGGATTCTCCAGGCAAGAATATTGGAGTGGGTTGCCATTTATTTCTCCAGGGGATCTTCCCAACTCAGGGATCAAACCCAGGTCTCCTGCATTGCCGGCAGATTCTTTAGCATCTGAGCCACCGGGGAAGTCCAAGAATACTGGAGTGGGTAGCCTGTGCCTTCCCTAGGGGATCTTTCCAATCCAGGAATTGAACCAGGGTCTCCTGCATTGCAGGCAGATTCTTTACCAGCTTACTTGGCACTACCAGTTAACACTGGAAATCAGTCCAGTACCTTTATAATCCAAAAGTGAAGCTGTGTTATTTGTTAAGATTTTTGCAGATAACAGTTTCTTTCTGTTTCATTCTGCTGTGGTTAGATAAAGGATTCATTAATATCTTCCCTATGATGAACACAACAGTATTTGTAAACGATGGAGAGAACGTGGATCTGGTTGTTGAGTATGAGGCATATCCCAAACCTGAACACCGACAGTGGATATATATGAACAGAACCTCCACTGATAAATGGGACGATTATCCCAAGTCTGAGAATGAAAGTAACATCAGGTAAGAAAAGGGCCTTCTCCTGGCAATCACGCAGTTATACCTTTCCCCTTCTCTTCTTGTTTGGTAACTAACTCATGTCTGACTTTGTTTTGACCCCATGGGCTTGTAGCCCCGCCAGGTTCCTCTGGCCATGGGATTTCCCAGGCAAGAATAATGGAGTGGGTTGCCATATCTCCAGGGGATCTTCCTGACCCAGGGATTGAAACCCCATCTCCTGCAGTGTAGGTGGATTCTTAACTACTACCTCATCCTATTTCTTTAACCATCAGTGTATGAGAAAACAGCTGATACAGAAGGAAGTTTGGGGCTGCTCCCTGAGTCTTCATCACTTCATTTTGCCATGTGTTTAGAGCACCCAGAAGAGTCCATGCTTCAGTTGTCTCATCTGTGAATTAGAGGACAGTCCTGTCCTATAGTTCTGGGGATAGTTCAGAGCAGTCGCTAGCATATACTAGGGCCACATTAAATAATTCTTTTCAGAGAAAGAGGCATGTTAGTGCCTTTAGGTACATTTTTAAAGCTAGAAGGAAACTAAGAATCGTTAAGCATCTTTAGGCCAGGCAGTAAACCCAAGTTTCTTTTACATCAGCCTTCTCATTCGATTCTCAAATAAGTTTTATGTGCTTATTTCTGGCCATACGCTGTTCTCATTCCCTTATGTACATTAACTCAATAATTTTAGTCCTCACGAATGCTATGAGGAGGCACGCTTACTTCCCTCCTTTCTATAGAAGAGAAATTTGAGACTTTGACGAGTTAAGTAATCGCAACAAGAGCCAGTGGTTTGTAAGAGGTCGGTGCCTAGTTAGAATTGGTGTTTTTTTCCACTGGTTGGGAGCTCTTGGCTGTTGTAAGAATATGGGTGAGAGAGGATACTGTCCTGGACCTAGGTCTAAGGGTTGGAGGGTGGATCGGGAGGAAGATGGACTGGTAGGTGTCCAGGCTTCCTCCTTAAAGGACTCGGTGACTGAAGGGGCAGGGAAGAGGGAGGAGTCTGGCTGGGGCAGCTGAATTGGATGATAAGAGGCGATAGCATTCCAGGGGGAGGGAGAGGGGCAAATCCAGTGAACTGAGATAGGGGTTTGTTGAATTCAAACTTGCCTGTGGGATCTTGAGTGGAGATACTCAGGTAGAATGTTTCATAGGTGAGTTTCACTGGATGCAGCTCCTGAGAGTGGGATGCACAGGCACGGGCTTCATTAAGAAGAGAGAGACACGGCAGAGAGTTGGGAAAGTAGGGTAGGGAGGGGAAAGGAGGTAAAAAGGATGCAGGTGAGCTGCAGTCTCGTCCTAGGGGCGCTTTGCACTGGGGGCCATGAACATAGGTCTGGAGAGGAAAGAGGCATAGGACTGGGAGGTCTGGACTAGAGGTCAGGATTTGAAAGTTGTAAGTGACAGTAAGTAGCTCAGAGGAGCGTGAATGCCCTGGGAGTGTATGCAGCGTGACAGGAGACTGAACAAGCCACCCACGTGCAGAGTTGCTTGTGGCCCGTGGGGGCCTAGGGCCACCCAGAGAGCTCCCTCCACCCTGGAGCCTGTGTCACTAACTCCCTGGTGGTTGTGCTGAACACAGCCACTTGTGATAACCTTGGTGTAAAACAGAAGCGCCGGTAGCACATGCCCCAGGGGCCACTTGGAAGAAGCAGCAGGGGTAGGAGGAGAACCAGGAGATGCTGGTGTTGTCAGAATGAAGGCGAGGGCCATGGTATTGACCTTGCTGCATGGCCCTTGAAGTGTCTGCTTTGAGACACCTTGGTGGAGAGGCCTGCCAGTCTGGGGTCTGGCCAGGCAGATGAGTTCAGGACCCTGGTGAGAGGGGGGCTGAACGGAGGACCAGGGCGGGGAAGGGTGCTGGGCATAAGGACAGCACGGGACGAGGGTGAGGTTGCCTTGTGACGAGAAAGCCTTTCCCCACCCTGTTCTCACATACCAGGCATTTGTCTCAATGAAATATTGGTGTGTGTTTGCACTTGTTAATACTGAATCACATGGGGTGTATTTTTCTAAAACGGGCATGGATTTCCAGATGGAAACTGTGAAAAAGCCACACACTTTGAGGTAGGTGATCCACAGGTGACTGATGGGTGGTTCTTTTTTTGTAGATACGTAAGTGAGCTTCATCTAACCAGATTAAAAGGGACTGAAGGAGGCACTTACACATTTCATGTGTCCAATTCTGATGTCAATTCTTCCGTGACATTTAATGTTTACGTGAACAGTGAGTAGAACAAATGGTTCCTTATCTTTTTATTTTTTATTCTTTTAAGTTGTGGCTGGTGTTTGCAACAGCTGCCGCCCCGAGTTCATTGTGTACTGGGTCAATAATGTTTCATGATAATTTTGACCTTAACAAAGACCTCGTGGTTTGGTGGTTGGAAGGATGTGTACAAAAACCGATTCCTTGTCCTACAATTCGCTGCCCACATGACCTTGTAGCTGGCGCTCAGATGCTGGGTGCTGCCCTTTGAAGTCAACAAGGGAGACATAGAAGTTAAAAATAACAACAGTTTGAGGGAGAATGTATTATTATTGATTGCTGAGATGGGGAGCCGGAGGTTGAATAGGAGCTGGATTATGGTTTTAGGTGGGAAAGAGGTGCTGTCAAGCCCCGACAAACGATTTCTTTGTTACAGCACCTTTTCTTGCAGGGTTAGGGTATTATTTTGTGTGAAGTGAATGCAGTATTGATCAGCTCAGGGTGTTCCTGCTGTGTGCTGTGTGGGGACTGGGGGAGGAGGGAGTAGGCGGTTTAAGGTGGGAGGACAAATTCTCTGTACAAAGGTTGAGCCACGGGCTGTCCTCACTAGCTGGGACTTTTCTCAAGTGTATGACCTGCTCCTGCCTCTACTGTGAGGTCACCTGCATTTCCCAGGAAGAGGAGCAGGTGCCCGCCACACCACACCAGCAGGGGACCAAAGGCTGGAGGCCTCCAAAGACCTGGATCCCAAGGGACTGTCCACAAAATGACCATCAGAGTTAGCTATCTGCAGTGTATTGGTGGCGGGGGTGAGGGGGTGAGATGACAACCTGGAACGTTCCCTGGAAAGCAACTTAGTAATGACTGAGCCCTTCATATGTGTTGGGCTGCAGGAGAGGAGCCAGTTCCCCATCTTCCAGGAGCTTCCTACTTGCTATGTGGAATGATTCTCCATCATTACCTCCCTGATGGTGCCGCTCACTAGCATGGTGGGGTGGGGAGCATGATCCCCTTACAAATGAAGACCGGAAACAGCTAGCAAGTGATACTCAAGACAAGTTTTTGGTTGCTAATCTGGAGTCTTGTCTATTCCAGCATTTCCAAAATTGTATTTCCTGAACAAGGTGTTAACGTGTATTTAGATAAAGAGCATCATATCCGCATACAGATTTTTCTGAGCTACAGACTTTCTCAGCATCCTTGATACGCTAATGTATATTTTGCCTGCTCAGAAGGAGGTGTGGGATTGAGCATATATCTCAAATTTGTATGACCACAAAACTGCTTTACCCAGGGAAACATGTTAATTAACATCTCAGTTCTTCAGAACAGTTTTGATTACATGGTATTCTCATTGACCTGCAATTCCGGTATCTCTAGATTAATTCAGATGTTAATCAGAGATTAGTGTATTACACATGGGCAAAATTGCCTTCTTCTGAGAAATCTTCATGTTCAAGTAATTGAAGAGATGATTGCAGGTGAATCAATATCCTTGCAAACATCATATGCATTACTGTCTATACAGACTTTATTTTAGGCGTTCTAGTGCAGTGCTTCTCAAACTATGGTCAAGGACCTTGTGTATTGTGTAGTTTCCAATTTGTTCTGAATCAATGTTTCTTAATGAAATACAGAAAGAACCAGTCACTAGAATGGAGAGATGGAAAAGAACAAAGATATATAAAATCCCAGAATGGATGTTTTTTTTATTACTAGACTCAACAGATATAATTATGTGAAATTGCTCCTTCTCAATGCTTAGTCTTGGATTCTGTGCTTACGTAGCGTACACCAGAACCAGCAGATTTGTGGCCATGGTCTACTCGACAGGCCTCACTTTGAGAAGCTTCGTTGTTGGCAATTTTCTAAAATTGTGTCATTTGTGTCCATCTCTCTTTCCCTGGCTTCAAGGTCAAGGGCTCATTAAGATCTCTCTCCCCCTTTTCCTGCTTCTATTTGCCAGTATGTGGCCTGCCAGTCAGTCATGCGTCATTGACCTTAGAAAGACGTCTCTGAAGTCACCCTTACTTTTCTCTGGGTGACAAAATTGCTACGTTTTTACTTAACCAGCCCAATTTGCCGTCCAACAGGATCCGTATTGATCACCTCTGCTGGTGAATTCGCGCCTGTTTGAGACTAGAGAGGAAATGGCCTGAACCTTCCCAAATGATCCTCTCTTGGGTTCCCTGTAACTCTGGGGCCTGGGCCACAGATACTTCCAGCACGGGCTGAGCCCCTGCTTCAAGGCCCTGGGCACACGGGTGTGCAGTGTGCGGTGGCTCCTCGCTTTGGCTCAGCTCTTCAGGGGCCTGTCTGTTCATCGAAGTCGCTTTATTACAGGCACTAAGCTGACTAAAGGCATTTCCTTCACTTACCCAGCACGTTGGAGTTCTTGATCTCCAGATGCTTTGACAGAGGTAGCATTTTTGTGTGAATACTTTATCTGTTTCTTAGAAACTGTGTCCCAGTTGCCCTTCACAGATATAATTAGCTAATTTCTTTGCTGACTTTTTATTTTTTGGATTAAAAAAAAAAAACTAGTTGATGCTATCATGGGGAAGATATTTTTTTATGTTAAATTTAAAATCAAAAGCTAAAAATAATTTTAAAATTTAAACTTGGACCAGTTGTGTCCATTTTGACATATTATTTTAGCAAGCCAAATGCATATGTAGATCTGCTGTGTGGTCTATTCTGTAAATAAACTGAGCCCCAAGGGTGAAAGGAACTGTGCTCTGCAGAAACTAGAATGAATAAAAATCAGAATAATAAATGCATGCTGTTAGCGTAGAAATTCAGGCTACTTTTAGTGACAGGGATGCATAATTGCTTAATAGATTCAGCTATGAGAAATGCTCAAGGAAATCCTTGATTTCAGTAGTTAAACATTTGGTAGTTGAAGACTTCATTTGCTTTGAAAATTTGAGAATATTGTACATGTGTGTGTTTGTGTTTTAATAACTTATGTGGGAGGCTTTAAGGGAAAGCTATGTACATTTAAACTTTAAAATGTTTTAGTACTGTTTTTAGCTTCTCTAACAAGACATGATTTGCATGGGTCTGTTGACTCCGTGACCTTAAAGGTGGTTTGTAATGGCCAAAAAATGAAACAAACAAATCAGTGATTCTTTGCCTTGAACTTGCATTGCTATAATTATTCTTGAATTGCTTATTGAAGATGTATATAGAAGTCAGATTCTTAATTCTAAAAGAAAGTTTCATATCTTTGACGAAAATGGCCATTTGTTTCTGTTTCAGATCAAAATTTGGCGACAAATAGGGTTTTAAGAGCTATAAAACTACCCAAAAGTGTTTTCTTAATACACCTTACTCTTTCCAAGATTCCTGCAGGTGTTAGAAAAAGTGATAAAACCAAGATTCTGTAGGTTAGGTAGCCTGTGATGGTGCATTAGAAATGTGTGGTCTCTTTGATGACAGAAAGACTTGGAGAATGAATTTAATGGTTGCTAGAGAGAAGGGATAGTTAGGGAGATAGTTAGGGAGTTTGGGATGGACATGTGTACTCTGCTAGAGTTAAAATATATAAGCAACAAGGACCTACTGTATACCACATGCAGCTCTGCTCAATGTTATATGGCAGCCTGGATGGGAAGAGAGTTTGGAGGAGAATGGATACATATATTGGAGAAGGGAATGGCAGTCCATTCCAGTACTCTTGTCTGGAGAATCCCATGGACAGAGGGACCTGTTGGGTTACAGTTCACAGGGTCGCACAGAGTCAGACACGACTGAAGCGACTTGGCATGGCATGGATACATGTAAATATATGGCTGAGTCCCTTCAATGTTCACCTGAAACTATCAGAATATTGTTTCAAGTATACCCCAATAGAAAATAAAAAGGTTAAATTTTTTAAAAATGCAAAAAAATATAATTTTAGAAATCTTGCAAATCAGCCAAAAAAAAAAAAAAAAAAAGGCCGGGAGGGTGGAGAGAAACTTATGATCTCTTTGGTAATAATAAATGTCATACAATAAAGGTTTTTACCAGATTTAGGACAAATAAAAGGCCAAACATGTATTTTAACCCTAATTAATCTGGATTCTCGACTTTTCTGTCTCTCTCTTACACACACACACACACACACACACACACGCATGCATGCAGGCACGCACACACACCACATTTTTTTAATTCATTCATCCGCTGAAGGAGATTTGCATTGTTTTCATACTTTGATTGTTGTAAAAATTACTGCAGTGAATGTGGGAGTACAGATATCCTAGATAAGAAAAAGTTCTGTGTTGTTTTCCATAATGGATATACCAATTTATGTTCCCACCGTCCCGTTATGTTAAGGAACCTAGAGTTTTATTTTCTCCACATTCTTGCCTATGCTTGTTATCATTTGTTTTTTTGATGATATCCGGGTTGACAGGTTTGAGGTGACAGCTCATTGTAGTCTGATTTGCCAGTAGCCTAGAATGGCACTAGTAGTGTTACATCAGTAAAAGGTTATCTGGTAGCTTTTCGAGATCCACATTATGAATTTAAAATTTGTAGCAAATGGTATTTGGAGATTTCTCTTCAGTCTCAAAGATCTTCTGTCCTTTAATGACAGACCTACTTCGGCTTCTCTGGTGGCTCAGACCGTAAAGAATCCGCCTGCAATGTAACAGACCCATGTTTGATCCCAGGGTCAGGAAGATCCCCTGGAGAAGGGAATGGCAACCCACTCCAGTATTCTTGCCTGGGGAATCCCATGGACAGAGGAGCCTGGTGGGTCACAGTCTGTGGGGTCGCAAAATGTCAGACACAACTGAGTGACTGACACTTGCACTTTCACAAATTGAGTGAGAGAATGGTGGTACTCAGGTGGTGGTGCAGAATGGCCAGCAGGACAAGAAAAGTCTGGAGAATGAAAAGGCTTGCCTTTCATCTTTGGGCTTACATGGAACACAGATGATGTTAAGCTCGATTGGATGACTGCTGAACTCTACACCAAATTCTCAGAATCACCAGTTTCCCTTCATTTATGGCAGAGTGTTAACAGACGG